AAAAAAACTGATAAGGAGGTTATCCTATCAAAATCAGACTTTGTTGATACCTTGTAGAATTACCTTAAAAGCAAAGAGTAAAATAATGCGTTCAACCTATATGTGACTTCTGACATGATATGGTAATAGTTTTATAAAGTATCTATAAGTAGAGTTTCCTACATAAATCAATCTCGAGACGCTCTATTATGTTGCATAGTGCGCGACCTTTTTCTTAGCATTTCGGTTAACCTCTTGTAAGTAATTATCATCCGCCCTTAAGGGAAATTGAAAATCTTGACTTTATTCGGTGGTTATGATTGAAAAAAGCGCCCTCCTTAGAGTTCATAATGTTGCTATTTCTAGGTGAAGTATTCGTTCTCGATGATGGAGGAGAAGTCGATCTTGACTTGGGTAATTATGAACGGTTTTTGAATATCAGATTAACTAGAGACAACAACATCACTACGGGAAAAATGTTCCAACACGTACGTCAATACTCGTCGTTCTTCATTTCTCCTCCTTTTTCGTGAAACATCTGAGAGTTCTTTTGATTTCCACAGGTATGTTTGTTTTACAGGTTACCGAACGAGAACGACGTGGCGATTACTGCGGAAAGACTGTGCAGATGATTCCACATTTCACTGATGCTATAATTCAATGGGTAGAGCGGGTGGCTAGAATTCCAGTGGATGGCACGATGGAGCGGCCGGATGTTTGCATTATTGAGGTTCGTGCTTGTTTGTAAAGTATCTTCGACAATCACTATATTGGTACCTTTTTTTCCATCATTTAGTGCTTCTCTAATATTTTCGTTTTTCGACGTCACTTTTTGAGCAAAATGAAGCGACAATCTGCGTTCTTACTCAAGACCTTCCTTCTTTCATTAGCTCTTGTGGACATTACAGAAAAATACGCTTCAAATTTCATAACATTATCACCTTTGGAAATATGTGCGCAGTAAGCACGGACCTGCCGAGGTGAAGGAGGACGTCGGATGTTCCGCGCTTTTAGTTTCTTTGTTTTCGTAGTTGAGTTGCGTGCCCCTTAGGAACCCCTAAATGGTCAATGTAAAAGTAGATCCATTGAAGTTTGAAACAACTTCTCTAAGAACATAGTAGTACTTCAGTTAGGTTCAATCCTATTTTAGAAAGTTCAGTTCTAAGTATACCATGCATATTGTACAAATTATGTAATCTCCATTGAAAATAAATTGCGGCAGCTGAGGCATATTTGGAATCTCATCTGCTCCGCTTACAGAAAATGTTTTAGTTGCCGAAGAAAATAAATGCGTGCTTT